ATTTGATTTTACCTCATACAACAATATGTTCGGCGCCGGGAAAACAAATTCACGCCATGATCACGCGTCGAGGCGTGTGTGCGTGACTCGTACTCCGGCCCCTTGCTTCCTTTGTACTGTTAGTTGTGATGGCGCCAGTACTTCCCGACTGTAAATATGTGTTCTCTCCTCAAAATAATGATACTATTTATAATAACTATAAGTAATTAACTACTTGTCGCTTGCCATCGTCAAGAGAAAACTAACTAGTTCGCTAGTTTGTACGCCGGGCAGAAATTCGTGCGCCATTTGGTTTTCGCGTGTAGCTGAATGCAGTCTCGCTCTTGAATAACGTCTGTTTAAAACCCTCCCCCTAATTTTTCTGTCAAACTCACTTATCGTGTGCTACAATTGTGCTCAAATAATACTTTCGTTTTGCTATCTCGAGCATTGCTATAACGCGAATGTTCACCCACGCGTGATGACGTGGGAGCACCAAACCGACCGCGGATGCAAAAGCGTCTCGAGCAGTGGACAGGCTAACGTCCAAAATGATTGCTCACAACGTTACTCCCGCGAGGAGCACATGCTGAAATTTAGCAAAATTTTGGTTTTGAAATTGCTATTTTCCCAACTTCTTAAACACAAATAGCCTCCGTTCGTTTCTGGTTGTGTCATTTTCAAAAGCTTTCAGAATGCCATGTGTATACTATTCTAGCTGTTCTATTTTAAGGGTGCTCCCACAGTTAACGTTCCCTGGGATAGCGCGAAGTAAAGTTAGGTGACAAACGCTCCCTTGCCCCATACGTTTTTGTACTGGGAGAATATGTGGCAGCTCGATGGGTTGCCTACGCACTGGCGTGCAGGCGTCGTGCAGGCGCCGAGGGCAAGGGTGGGGCGGAGGAGGTGGCGAGAAAAACCAGCCCTCTCTCTCTCCCCCTCTCTCTCCCTCTCTCTCTCTCTCTCTCCCTCTGTCTTGTTTTTAGCTATGATCTATTTTAGGGCATGACCTAAAAGGGGGCAAAACTCATAGTATTATCTCCTTCTCCCAATGTGGTCGCGGTCTGCCCTTCAGAATAGTTAGTGAAGGGTGTATGTGCACACACTTTCTTCAGTGGACCTGGCTGTGTGCATCGCGCGCACACACTGTGCACCGCACCACTCGAGTCGAGCGACACTCCAGCGGCCGAGCGCCTGTCATGCGGAGGGTAGGCAGCGTGCCCCACCCCCGCGCGCGGCGGCTCAGCCTAGCGCGCCTGCCAGGCTGTCGGCTCCCTCCCAAAGAGTTGTGCGGAAGTTTACCCGAGATGAATCACAAAAGTATTTGGGGGGGGGGCGAGAAAGACCCCAGGCCGCCGCTGTCGAGCCGTGCCTCACCGCACCGCACCCAGCGCCGCGCTCTCCGGAGTGAACGAAGGGAAAGGGTGATTTTGCTGGGGAAAATCACCTGCTATTCACCACGAGGGCCGCGTCGAGCCTAACTGTAATCCATTACTGTCGAGGCTTTG